CCCCCCCCCCCCCCCCCCCCCCGCCTCTCATACTCGCCTTGTTGGTCCTTCTGGGTAATACGAGCATGTGACCTTCCCTGTGCCAGTGCTCTGTTCCGCTAGCCAGACTCTAGGCCCGAGCACCGTCACGTGATCAAGGAAATGACATCACCGCTCCTCTTGGCATCTGGCACCACCAAGCGCTATGGCAGAGATAGGCAACCTTTGGCGGTGAAACGACAAATGCCGCCATGCAGATGCCTCTGGCAGTCATGCCCATGGCGGTCAGAGTCCTGGGATAACTCCTGGGACTTGTAGTCCCTCAACAGCTCAACGCTAATAAGGCACTCGCACAGCTTTATCACCTACGGAGGTCAAAAGTACAAAGACTTGACAACGGCCATGTCAACGTACTACGCAATGGACTCATATCCCCGGCTATGTGTCCCATCCTTTAAGACCGGCATATTAAAGGGCCAGTCCACCCAAAACTAGCATCTCAGCTCTGGATGAATGACGGGGCCTCGAATTACACGTGGCCTCCTTGTATCTTTTTGGGACTGAATTGGCAGCCAGGCCCGCTTACTGTGGCCATTAGGTCATTTCACACTTTCTTAGATGTACTCTGTCTTACATTAAAGTGGCCCTGTCACGTAGAAAACATAAGACCAGCCCTGTAAAAGAGGAAACACTTGACCTATCCAACTGCCCCCTGGTTTGGAACCACTGCAGTCCAACAGGTCAAATACCTGCCCCCCTCCTTGTGGTGCTCACATGGTTCCTCCCGCTGGCTCATACATCACTATAGGACAATATGAGCCAATGGGAGGAACCATGCGAGCAGTGGAGAGGGGTGGGCAGGTATTCAATGGGTAAAACCGCTATGTGGAAAGGGGTGGGCGGGTATTCAATGGGAGAACCCACAATGTGGAAAGGGGTGGGCGGGTATTCAATGGGAGAAACCACTATGTGGAAAGGGGTGGGCAGGTAATCAATTGGTAAATCCACTGCGTGCAGTAGGTATTCCACACATTTACCTATCTGACTGCCCCTGGTTGGAAACCACTGTCCAACAGGTCAAATACCTGCCCCCCTCCTTGTGGTGCTCGCATGGTTCCTCCCGCTGGCTCATACATCACTACAGGACAATATGAGCCAATGGGAGGAACCATGCAAGCAGTGGAAAGGGGTGGGCAGGTATTCAATGGGTAAAACCGCTATGTGCAGCAGATATTCCACACATCCAGAAGCGTAGAATACTTACAGCGGCCGGGCAGCACGTAAGCAGCGGCGGTTCAGGCCATGGGCCACCAGAGAGTGTTACCCGCACACAGCTCCTGAAGACGTGGCCCTGACACACTCAGAGCCGCACATCGGAGATTATCC